CACAGCCGCTTTTATTATTATGTATAGATTGTATTTCAAATATTAAGTCAAATACGTTGTCTTCGCATTCTTTATTGTTAAGAAAAAGATTACATATCAAATACAAGTGTAATAGTGGCTTAGCGAACAAAACAATATTTTAAAGCATATTATCAATCGTTTTTATTAAGTTACAGTGCTTAAATAAATATTGCATATTTCTTTGAAAAGAAACATTAGCACTAAATTATGAAATTAATCCAATTCGTTAGATAGCGAATAAAATTCCAGCAAATTTACTGTTCTTTGGGAGGAGTTTCCAAGCTTAAATCTTCTTGTTTCTGAATCTCTTCCTCCTTACTTGCAGCGTTCATAACATTCTCATAATCAAAAACTTGGAGGTTTTTTAAATTTTTCTCTACATTCATTAATTCCTTAGCATCAGTTTCGTTCACAACAATATCTCCAGTAAAACTATTCTCATATTTTGAATTTTTCGAGATTCCAATGTTGTCATCGCAACAAATTATACTATTTTGTGAACTTTCCATAGATGATGGCAGTGATAAGTCATTATCATGTTCAACATACATCTGATTTACGAAATTTCTTTCGGAGCATGGCTTCTTAAATGGTTGATCGCAATTATCTGTATCTACAACAAATTCCACATGCCGTTTACGTTTAGATACTTCATTTGCTTCATTAGGTTGTATATTGAGTACATCAATGTCAATTTTATTTTTAAGAAGAGGAAACACATCAAGTTTTTCGTTTTCAGAGATGTATTTGTTCTCAAACTGCTTTGATGTGGAGGTGTCAGTTTGAAGAAATGCCTTTTCGTCAATTTCAAGTTCTGTTTGTGTTTGCGCTTCTTCGACTTCCTTAATTACCTAAAATTTAAAGAAAAATACCTTCAATAGATTGTAAGCAGGTTGCATACTACAGTCGTATCGAAGTTATTTCTTTACCGGAATAAGGGCGTGGATTTTGAGTCTGAACTTCCAATTGCTTTTCCTTATTGCCACCGATAGTAAAATAACTCCGATACGATATCAGCAATAAACGCCGATACATCGAGAAATATTCTGTTTTTAAAATTCTCAACTGGCTATTTAAAATTGCGAAACCAGATGACATATGTCTGCGACCACAGACTTTGATTTAGGAATGATTATAACCAGCCTAAATCAAAAGGTTTTGTGGTTTATCGTACTGCATTATTGCTTCTGTTAACTGTCTTCCGAGTTTGGGATAGTTGGATTCAAAACAGTCACACGAAACGTCATGCTATCTTCCAGAGTCTTCATACCAAAAACAACTAAATCGACAGGTATCTTATCCGCATGTTCACTAGAGGCTACGCAATCACATTTTGAACCATGTGTAGGAAAATGGGGTCCCTTGTAAACAGAGCATGACTAAGGCAGTGGTATACGGGACAGTTGCCCCGGGCCCCCCCACATCAGAGGGGGACCCCAATGCAGTGTAAAATCCATCAGTTTTTGTTAGCTTCTTCATTAATCTATCGCATGTACACAAGCTATATTTCGTAAATCCATAGTTCTCTAGGGCGGAATTAAGCTAAATGCTTACAATTACGATGGGATAATTTGGGCAATCAAAATCCTGCATTTTAACATATCGCACAATGCGATATGTATACAAAACTATAAACTTCTGATTGGCTTAATTGAGTCATCGTAATTGCGAAAACTTAGCTGAATTGCGACCTAAAGTCAGCAAAGGATATGAATAAGAGAGAACTGCAGAGAACTACATTCGGCATGATGGACATAGAATTGTCAGAAAATCAATAAAATGGACAGAATAATATTTCGTCTGACCATTGCAGGGAGAGGGACTTTATAGCTATTTAAGGTTCTAGTCAATTTTCTTGTTATCTATAACGAGGTGAAAAATGTAAATATATCCATAAAATTTATTTCTTCATTACTGAAGTAGAGAAGCAGAGGGGGCCCCCAAAGAAGTTTGTGCCCGGGGCCCAATTAGGTTACGTCTGGCCCTGCTTGTAAAGCAACAAGTTTGTGCTCAAACAGCTCGACATTGTTTTCAGCAGCATAGAGCACCGGCATGGCAAGGTTTTTCTATCCCTGACGCTGCCTCACACGCAGAAGCATTTAAATGATGGGACTAATGATCATCCTGGAATCGTGAATTACGGTCGATTTGTCATTAGAAAAAACTTAACACGCCTGTGGTCCATGCTGCTGAAAGCATAGTCGAAAAACGCCTATTACATTAGTATTATTGTTGCAGCAGGGTGTGTACAGTCTCAGTTCAAGCAAAATGTTTGAAACAGCTGAGAAACACCGCCTGCGAAATACGATCAGTAATTTGGGTTGTGACAGTCATTTTCAAAACACTCAAGAATATTTCGGCAGCAGAAACTCATTGACAATAAGTAAGCTTTTGACGTCTAGAGTTTAGTTGCAACTCAACACCAGAACCATTATACCATTCCCATTCAAAATCTGATCCAATCTTCAGATATTCTTTTAGATATGAATAGATTGACTCCCACCGTAAAGTCCTGACTTGACGCTGACTGAGTTCTACTCGCCCTGCTGTCTAAAGAAGTTTTACAGCTGAAAATACTTCGACACATTCAATGCAGTGAAAAAAAAAACAGTTCAGGGCAGGTTTTTCTCTCTGGTAGCAGGCTTCTATCACTTAAGGATATAAAAGATTTAACAACTATATATAAGGGTTTAAACAACTATATAAACTACGTAAAAAAATTGAAAGACTAGCAACAAAGGCAGCAAAAAGAAAAATATCCGAGGTGTTAATTATTTTATTAAAAACTTTTAAATTTTCTTTCCAAATAACCCTCGTATTTGTATAAATTATAGTTCATGTCAGGCATAAATTATACGATAAACCTCCCTTATCACAGTCTTGCTTGTTTCATTTGTTTATATTCTCCAACAAAAGTAACTTAGTTTTTATAGCATTTAAAATTGTTTTCACTCATAAAGTATTTACAATTGTTTTTTTCTCAGTTTCATACCAGTTTAAAAAAATCGTAAATAAGAAACAAAATAAACTTTCACATTAAACATTCAACTAACATTTATTATTTTAAAATATATATTGATAAATTCTGAATTTTTAAACCCTTTTTTCCAGTTACAAGTCAAAAAATAATGTTAAGGAGTTATTTTTTTCATAAAATGGACTTTTATGATCACATAATGTGATGAAACGTTTCATAATCTGTTTCTTTTGTCTTTGAATAAAAATGAAGTTACCATATATTTTTAACACGAAGTTTACCTGTGCACGAGTGCTTTCCAAACGAAGTCTCTCCAATTCTTTAACTTGCTCATCCAATTTGTTTTGAAGCATTTCTAACTCTTTTTCATAATTTTCAGTCTTTAATGATAAAGTTTTCTCTATTTCACGTAGTTCAGCACACTTGCTTATAAAGCTACATAATCTAGTATTCGATTCTACTAAATTATTCAAAGTTTTCTAAATAAAAAAAAAATTTAAGAATGCATTTGAATTTTTAAAATAAGTAACTGATAACAGATTATTTATGCAAATTACACTAAATCAGGCAAAAAGGTCTGAATCTAAGGTCTAATTAAAGAGTTAAAACTATTAAAGCAAACGTTTTTTTTCTTCATAATTACTGTAATTTTTTTTAATATACTTGTATATTTCCCTCCTAACATTTATAAATATGTTCGTAAAATAAACATATAGGTATTATCGTATTTACCTAAACATGCATTTAACTGACAGAATTGCACTCACATAGAATAATAATTTGAAATGTATATAAGAAAACTTTACTCAAAATGAAATTGATAAGATTGATCAGATTTATACATACTTAGATGTGATATTCCTAGTTTGAAGATATGTTATGATAAGTTAATTTACTTAATTAGATGTTATTGTCACTTATTATATGTTAATTTATTTTACTCAGACTGTTAATTAAATTTTATTAAATTTCAAGATCAGACTCAAAAACAAACTTCCTACTATTACTTTCTTTTTTATGCAGAAATTCCGAATTAATTTTCGACCCCTCAAATTATGGGGAATAATCGAAGTCTGGGAGACAAAATGACCCGAATTTTAAACAATCGAGCAATTTAAGTTTGTCCCTTTACGAGTTTTATTGTTATGTATTCTGAAGTTATTATTATTATTGTTTTTATCTTTCCTTTCTTTTACATTTCTAAATTTCTGCTGAAAATTCGATTCTGCAAATAAATTTTTTGGCCAGAATGCTAACAAAAACTAAAATTAAATTATAACTATGAAAAATTTGAACATAAAGCAGAAAATACATTTTAATAATATTTATTGTTTCACATTGTTTGAAAATACTT